TCACTCAGTAATGGGGAGAGATGTGCAAATAGTCACCTCTCAGTGGATGGGAGCCCTGAAGAGGCGCTGCCGGGGGCCTGGGGAGCAAGCAGGGGCTGGAACCGCAGTGCTGAGTCACCTGTGTGGAAATGATCTGTGGGAAAGCTTTTATTCCATCCTCCTTTTTTAAGATCATACATAACTGTACTTGGCCTTTAGAGGCATTTTCCACTATATAGACAGACAGACAGACAGAAGCAAACCTGTGAGCCCACCCGCCCCAAGACAACCCGCTCCTATGTAGCCTGGTGACGTCCACCCACTTGTTACGTTCATGGAGCTGAGATTATGCCATATGGATGATGCTGGACCCCTTTCTCCTGAGCGTTTTACCACGCCGTGAACGCTCATCATTCTGATGGCCGCACAGCAGGGATTATTAAGAAGCTGTGCTGTGATGTTCTCAGCCCCTCCTCTCCGTGGGAAGTAATCCCAGAGACCGCACACCCCGAACACGAGGCGGGTGCCAGCTTCTGCCTACTTAGTCCCCACGAAACCCCATGAAATGAGGAAATGGCTTTTCTCCTACTGGGAGCATGAACGGTGGTGAAAAAACCTCGGTTCAAATCCCAGCTCTGCCCCTTGGTTGCTGTGGGAGCTCAGACAACTTGCTTAGCCTCTCTGAGTTGCAGCTTCCTTAGCTCTACACTGGGCATAATAGAGCGACCTCAGAAACGCCCCAGTTTCAATGATGCTCACCGTTTATTCTTTATCCCACAGTTTGTGTCCGACTGTCTCCTTCCTTTGCTGTCTTCCTCCACTGAAACGTGGACTCCCTGAGACAGGGACCATGTCTGTTTTGTTCTCTGTTAAATCCCCCCCAGGTCACAGCGCCCAGCCCGCAGGAGGCCCTCTGTACGGTCCTGCCGGGCAGACACACGGGGCTGTGGACATGGGGTAAGATGGAGCTGAGAGGAAGGGCTGGGAATAAACGCTGGTGTGAGGATGCGTGGCATTCGGGAGCAGAATTCTCTAAGCTCATAAAACTCCCATGGTGCCTGGGGGTTCAGGGGTGCATCTGTGGAGGACAAAGCCTCTGAGTTTGAATCCTGTCCCCACCACCCACTGAGTGGGACTCTGGGCGCATTAACTTAGCTCCTCTGAGCCAGTGTCCTCAGCTCTACAAAGAGGACTGTGGTGGCCTTTCACTCTGGGGGCTGCTCAGGGGTGCAGGCTCACTGTGAGGGCAGCTCCAAGGAGGAGAAGAGAGGGACTCTGTGCCTTTGCTAGGAGGGCCCAGCCGGGCAGGTGGCTGTGGCCAGTGTGAGCCCCCCAACCCCCGGGAGGCCAGAGGTCCTCACCTGCCTTCCTCCCTCCTCCTCTTCGCTGGGACAGAAGCTAGCTGTTCACCCCCGAGGGGAGGGGAGGCCAGGAGGTGTCGAGCCACCCTGAGCTCTTATTTTATAAACCCGGCTTAAGAGTAAATCCCAGGGCCACTGACCCTCCCCAGCTGCTCCCTGTCCTGGGAGTTAATTAAGAGGAGGCCCCGTGTTGGTTCCAAGGGCTCGTAAACCTACCCCCTCCCCCGCTGCTTACCCCACACTCCTCAGACCCCTGCCTCCTGCCTGCCCGGTCCTCACCCTCACTTGGGCACTGGGTGGGACTCCTGTCCTACCAGCTGTCCGGGGTCACTGCATGCCCCAGCTGCCCCTGGTGAGGAGCCACCCTGGTGGGCCTGCTGAGCTGTACCTGCCTGTTTCCTGGTCAGTGACTCTGGGTCCCTAGAAGGGACTGAACGGGGGACCAGAGGAGGAGGGACAGTGGCTGCAGCAGCTCTAATCAGGCAGCACCAACCCAGGAAGACCCCCGTCCCCTCCACTCGCCCTCTCCCTCACCTCCCACCCCCAGGGGCTCAGTTCCTCGAAGGCTGAGTCGAGATGGCCAGCCCTGGCCACCCCATCACCATGGAGATGCACTTGAGTCCTAAGATGGGGACATCCCCAGGGACTCTGAGTGTCCACCACAGGCCCAAGGCAAAATGCATAGCAGTGCAAAGGCTGCACACACACGCACACACGTGCAGAGACACACACACACACACACACACACAGAAACACAACAAGGCACACAAAGGCCTGAGACTAACTCCTTGCCCTGTTTCAAGGGTCCAGCCTCCAACCTGGCTCCTCACCTCACAGCTCAGCCCAGGGTGGTTTTGATGCTCTGGGTGAAACTCTGGGTCTCGCTGACTGTTGGTCTAAGTAGCCTCTGTGTTGAAGGTTCTGGGACCCTAAATGTCTCAGTGAAGGAAGTTGGGCTCCTCTGAGCCTCAGAGAGGCCGTTTAAGCACCTCCCTCCTCATCCCACCGGCGGCCCTGAACTTTCATTTATTCACTCAACAAACAGCACTTGCGTTGCGGGCACCAAGATATGAAATGAACAAGGCAGAATCAAGGCCCTTAGGGAACTCCCAGCTCGGAGGGGCTGGGGTGAGGAGGACAGAAAACAAACCTGTCACAGCTCCCAGGGAGAGGCGGGGGCTCTGAGCACAGAGCAGGAGGAGGCCAGTCCCCCAGCCCACCAGAGGCATCCTCAGCAGACCCTCGAAGGAAGTGACCAAACCTCAGTGTTTACCTGGGTGTAGTCCCCACGCCTGGAAGACAGTGGGGCACTGCCTTCCTTTTGTCTCTCTTACTCCAGCCCCTGTTTTCCACTCCAGGGCGTCCTTCCAGCCATGGAGACAGTGCTGGCCTCTCTGGCTCCCTGTGTGCCAATTTCCTTGCGCTCCCAGGAGTCTGGGCCCCTGCATCTTCCGACAAGCACCCACTTTAAGCTTCTCTTCTCTGTCGACTTGTCCAGAAGTTCTTAGAGTCCCAGAGGCACCTCCCTCTGCCTCAGCCAGACTGTAAAAAACTCCTGTTCCCCACCTGAGCAGGAGGCGGGATGGGGTTAGGCAGGGACCAGAGCAGGAGAGAGGAGGCCAAGGATTTCCTTCACCTCAGTCTGACATATGCAGCAATTAGGTGGATGGATGTTGGGGTGGGGCGGGCTGGATAGAAGGAAGAAAGGACGGAGGGAGGGATGGATGGATGGGTGGATGAGTTGGCTGTGAGGAAGGATGGATGGATAGACAGATGGGGTGACAAGGGAGGATGAAAGGAAACTTGGGTGACAGTGCCTACAAGGCAATGGAGAGGTCTGGTGTGGTGGAGGAGGCCTGCCAAATTGCCCTCCTAGAACAGAGGTTTATCTCTTTCTTCCCCGTGAAGTGAGTCTCCCCAGCCTCTCCTGGAGAAGCACATTCTCAGCCTGTTTTCAGTTCAGCAGACAAGGAGGTGTCCCCTGGAGCCTGTCTGACTGCAGTCCATGTGCTCTTGAAGGACTTTTGTGGTCGCAGAGAGCGGCTGATGGAATCCTCCCTCGTAAAGCTCTTCCTGTATTTCAAGACTTCAATTAAAATAAATAAAGTGGTTGGGCAAGGTGGGGTTTCCAAGCTGGGCTTCCCCAGAGGTGTTTCAGGGTTTGTAAGCCTTTTATTTCCCTTTAAGAAATATTTCGAAAGTTCTAGAAACCCTAGTGAAAAAAAGTCAGATCCACAGGAGCCACCAGCACCTTCGCGTGTCTCTCCAGCTACCCTCGTTTTGTGCCCTTCGTGGCTACATGAGAGTTCTGCGATTTCGAGGTAAACAACTGATAAACTGTTATCGCCAACAACTGTTTATCTGTGTGAGTTTCTCCATCCCGAGTCCCGGAGCGAAACAGAGCAATCAGTCAGCTTCTGGTCTGGTGTGACCGGAGCTCCGTCACCCCCGCTTGAAACTGTTTGCCTTCCCAGCACGGACTTGCTGTTCTCATTCGTTGCTTTTAGGGTGAGGAAATATGAAATTGACGTGTGATTAATTTATCCCTTTGACTGGTTTCACACATTGGGGTTTCCGGGTGAGGTCTGTGTTTTTTTTAAGGGAGGAATTTCATTGATAATTTGAAAGTGAAGAAACAAGAATAGAAAACTCATTATATGAATCCGCAGGGAGCCCTTTATCTCTTCCTTTCCCGCATTCTGTCCAGCCCCCAGCCTTCCTTGCTCTGTGCTGGATAAGCTGGGTCTCAGTTAAGGGTCTCAGTTCCCCATCACCTGACCCTGGTTCTTTTACCAACAGGGGCCTCTCTGGACCCAACACTGTGTCCTGCGAAGGAGTGTCATTTTCCTGCAGGTCAAGGTTGAGAATTAGCCAGGCCTCTTGTTTGAGCCTTTTACGGCCAGACATTCATAAATTTGTCCAACCTCTTTAAGGCCTCATGTCTTGGTCCTGCCAGGGTCACCTCCTGGCATAATGAGTCCTCTGTTTAGCACCGGTGGGGCGAGGCCGCATTTCCTTCTCAGTGGAAGCCCGGCCACCTGTCTTGCCCGCCCTCCGTCCCTGTGTGACCACAGCAGGTGGAAGCAGAGGCTTTGCTCAGCCTCCAGTGCTCACGGCCGGAACCTGGCAGTCCGTTCATAGACCTGGCTCTAGACTTCGTTGGTGGGAAGGCCAGCTTGTTTCTGGCTGAGAGCGTTCTGGGATGCTGTACAGAGAGGGTTGTGCTGCCACTTTTAACTGAGACCCCTGGAACTGGGCCAGCAGGAGACGTCCCTCAGGAAGGAATTGTAAGAAAGACTTGCTGAGGGGGTGGTTATAGCTCAGTGGTAGAGTGCATGCCTAGCATGCACGAGGTCCTGGGTTCAATCCCCAGACCTCCTTTAAATAGATACATAAAGAAATAAACCAAATCTCCCCCCAAAAAAGAAAGACTTGTGATTAACACATCCATTGATGGGCTCGGAAACTCTTAGTTCCCTTCGGAGCAGGTTCTAACCCTTTGAAAAATCATGCTGTGACTCTGCGTACTCTTTCTGAATGGAATCAGGAAGGCCAGGCCTGGGGCAAATTATTTTAAATACTGAACTTCTGATGGCGATCTTGGGTCCCGATGGCTTCCGTAATGACCACCTTTTCAGCACTGGTCTTGTCTCCTTCCAGGTCGTTCTCTGGGGCCGGACTGAGAAGTGCCTGAAGGAGACGACGGAGGAGATCCGGCAGATGGGCACCGAGTGCCACTACTTCATCTGCGACGTGGGCAACCGGGAGGAGGTGTACCAGACGGCCAAAGCTGTCCGGGAGAAGGTGGGTAGCCTGGGAGGGCTGGCCTCAGCTCTGCTGGACACGGGGGCACGCTGGCCAGCGAGCACATCCTCACAGGGCCTAGGAGACAGTTTGCTTGGGGCAGAATGGGCCTTTTCAGAGCATCTTTGGCTGGGGGCGGGGGGGGGGTGGAGAGGGTCTTCTCTGAGGCTGGCTCAGGTTGTGTGTCTGTGTGTATGTGTGTGTGTGTGTGTTGCAAGGGGCAGGGATTAGGCGTGTGGGTTGATTACGTAACAGGAGTAATCACCTGTTGTCCCCTTTGCAAAGTTTAGACCTTGTGAGTTTCCATCCTAGACCCTGGGGAGGGGGCAAATGTTCCACTGCCCTCTGGGGAAATCGTCCCAACTCCAGCCATCTGTTTAGAACGAGTATGTCAGTGAGCTCCAAGCAAGCAGAAACCACCCTGTTAGGCATCTGGCACATGGTAAATGCTATCTGGTTTTACGTAACAGTAACTTCATTTATTATAGATGTGCTTTATGTCAGGTATATGACATGCCATAAATTATATCTGATCCTCAGAACAACCCCATCTGACAAATCAAGACTGATGCTCAGAGAGGCGATGTTGTTACCGGCTAGAGGGCACTGTGGCTGCCCAAGGCCAGGGCCTCGCCGCAGGTGCAGGCCGCTGGGGTTGGCAGCCCTCACGGCCCCACGACCCACCCTCTCTTGCCCACAGGTGGGTGACATCACCATCCTGGTGAACAACGCAGCCGTGGTCCACGGGAAGAGCCTGATGGACAGTGACGATGATGCGCTTCTCAAATCCCAGCACATCAACACCCTGGGCCAGTTCTGGGTAAGGCTGTCCTGAGCCAGAGCCGGCCCTGCATGTGACAGCAACACGTTCCTTCCCTCCAGGGAGCCTGGGGGCTGTCAGGGAGGGGGAGGAACTCACCAGGGCTTGGGCTCAGGCAGGGGGGTTATCCAAGGATGGGCGATGGGACAAGAGGAATGCCCGGCCAGCCCCAGAAGGCATCTGGACTTTGAAATGTGGGGCTCAGTGCCTTGGCCTTCGGCCCCCACCCTCCCAGTCCCAAGAAAGCCCACTCCCCGGAGCAGTGCATGTGTCCAGGGTGGTCTGTCTCCCGAGAGAGGGGTAGAGGGGCTGTTGGAAGCTGCGGCTGCTCCACGCTGACCTCCCTGCCCATCCTCAGACCACCAAGGCCTTCCTGCCGCGGATGCTGGAGCTGCAGAACGGCCACATCGTGTGTCTCAACTCCGTGCTGGCGCTGTCTGCCATTCCCGGCGCCATCGACTACTGCACGTCCAAGGCCTCGGCCTTCGCCTTCATGGAGAGCCTGACCCTGGGGCTGCTGGACTGTCCGGGCGTCAGTGCCACCACCGTGCTGCCCTTCCACACCAGCACCGAGATGTTCCAGGGCATGAGGGTCAGGTCAGTGGCCTGGGACCCCCTCCCCGAGCCTGGTCCCTCCAGCAGGTGGGGCCAGGGGAAAGGCTCATTATACACAGAGAGCGCCAACCCAGGGGCCCTTTATCTCTGGCTCTGCAGTCTGGTACCTGATTCTCCATCTGCAAGGCAGTAGGATTCTAGAGTGGTTCAGGGCGCTGCTTCTCTGCTCTAGGGGCTTTATCAAAGTCCCCGCAGCAGTGGCATCCTATTAGCCCAGCTATAAAAAGAGAACAGAGTATTGAGACATGAATGAGATGAATGATCTCAAAAGCGTGACGTTGGCTGGAAGAAGCCAGAGGCACAAGTGTGCCTTCTGCGTGATTCCGTCTGTCTGAAGTTCTGGGACAAGCAACACTGGGCCAGGGTGGAAGACTCAGAACTGGGGCCACCCCTAGAGCGGTAGGGGTGTAGCCTGGCAGGGAGCACCAGGGAAACGTCTAGGCGTTTAGAAATGTTCTCACTTCCTAATTTGGGTGAGGGTTACATAGGTAAAAATTAATCATGCTGTACATTTAAGATTTATGCCTTTTGTCGTATGTACATGCTAGCTCAGTTTAAAGAAACACTGAAGCCTAACCACCCCTCCTTCAGGCCAGTTCAAGGTTACAGATAAACGAAAATGGGGAACCATCCCAAAACAATTTTCCTTGGCTTTTTTTTTTGGCAATGCAACGAAAAACAGTAATTCTGAGTTCTAAATGATATGCATCAGCTTCTTCCAAAAGTGAGGATGGCACAGAAGGGTCACTGCGGGACTTTGATGAGACAGCTGATGGAAGGGACGTAGCGCGGTGCGTGCCGGGTGGGGTCACTCAGTACACCTTAGTTATTATCACCGCGTGTGGTTTTGCCGATCAAGAATCAAAACAGCTGGTTTTGAATCACACCTCAGCTACTGCAGGGTTATGAAATCTTGAACCAGTTTTGTTACCTCTTTGAATCTTACTTCGCTCATCTGTAAAACACTGCAAATAATATTTACCTCGTAGGATTATTGGGAGAATTAAAAATAACATATGTAACATATCTAGTGCAAAGCCCCGGGCGAACGAGATGCTCAGTAACGAACTGTTACTCTTTCTTTTTTACTAACAATAAACATCTTCATAAGCACACATGTTATTAATCTTCCTTGCAGACTGTATCTCAGTTGTCACAGAAGTATATACTTCCACCTGACTTGCATGCAAATTATCATAGATCCTGAGTTTAGAGGAGGCTGGATGGATGACTGTTAATGTTCCATGTTGGTTTTTTTCCCCCATGGTATCTTGGTTTGGTTTCTTTTCATCTTGGGCATACAGGAGGTGCTCAATAAATGCAGATTGGATGGAAGTGCAGCAGCGGCAACCCATGGTTCTAACTGGGCGGGACGGTCACAGACCTCGCATCCCAGTACCTATTTCTCCTTTTGGCATCGCTTCCTCTCCACAACTTTAAGAGGGAAATCCAGGGGAGGGTAGAGCTCAGTGGTAGACTGCCTGCTTAGCACGCACAAGGTCCTGGACCTCCCCAGGACCTCCATAAATAAACAAATAAATAAATAAACCTAATCTCCCTCCCCCCAAAAAAGAAGGAAATCCTAAAGCCACCCCCCAAGTCATTTTCCCACCGTGGTTTGGAGTGTGGGCCCAAACGGCGGGGGCCAGATCCCAGCTCTGTGCCGCCTGGGGCGAGTTACTTGGCCTTCCTGAGCCTCGGTTTCCTCGTCTGTAAGAAGGGATTGATAACGGTACCCCTCCTTCGCGGGTTAGATGAGCTCCTGTGTGAATCAACTAGCCTCCCCAGCAAGCAGTAAACACAGGGGAAAGTGAGTTACCTGTGGATTGCAGGTGAGCCCCGAGGGCTCGGGAGAGGAGTCGCTGATCGGTGATTGGTGCCTCACCAACTCTCACTTCCTGAAAGAAGGGAAAGAAAAGAAAAGAAAAGCATTGGCTTCCCCCACCTCCCCAATCATGCTTTGCAGCTTCCCAGGGTTGAGCGTGGGAGACAGATGTTTAGGACAAAACTGATGGTTTTTCTGGTAAGACTGGCCGTATTAGGTGGATGCTGTTGTTTGTAATTTGCTATTACTGCCCTCCTCCTGTGTTCCAGCCACACCAGACACTTTACAAACGCTGCCACATTTGGCCCTTAGCAACCCTGTAAGGGCGTGTATGCCCATTTCAGAGATGAGGGAACTGAGGCTCTAGAAAGCGGAGTTACTTGCCCAAGGCCACACAGATAGAGATCGGCTGAGCGTGCTCTTTCCAGGAGTCTGTGCAGCCTCCATGGGAGTTAATAGCTCTGCCGGCTCCCCGTGTACCCATCCCAACCCCGGGGAGGGAAAGGAGGAGGTCCCACCAGCAGACGTGCGTGAGGCCTCCCCTCTGGCAGGCTCTCCTGCCGGGGTCTTACCAGGAAGGGCCCCCTGAACCCACGGAGCTCAGTCTCTCCATCCTGTCTTCCCGACCCTGGTAGCAGAACTGGCCCAGGTAAGGGCTGCAAACCCAGACTGTCCCATATCTATGGGGTTCCAACATCATGAGCTGCCTCAAAACGTCCTTCTCTGCAGGACCCCAAGGCTTTCCAGACTGCAGGATTGTGGGCATCTTGGCAGCACATCGCTATGGCAAAGGAAGCGACGGGGGCGGGGGGAGGGTGGACTCTTGGAGGCCAGCCCAGCGCACGCGGGGGGCCCCGGAGTTGCCTTTTTCTCAGGGTGACACCAGCACCAGGTGACTCCTCACGCTTAGTCCTCCTGGTGCTGGAGCAGCTCCCCAGCCCTCTGTGGGACTGAGGTTGGAGCCAGCAGCAGCCCTGCACCTGTAGGCCCAGGACGGGTGGGGCAAAGAGCAAGGGACGGAGAGCGGAGACAGAGCAGTGGCCTGGGGCTCCTGCTGGCCTGGTTTGAATCCTGGATCCCCCCCGCCAGCTCCCCAGGGCCTCAGCTTCCCTCTCAGTCAGTTTGAGCAAATGATGCCTGGTGAGCACTTAGCACAGGCTCCCTAGGGATCATTGTCACTGAGTGAGTCTCAGGTCAGATGCCTCTGAATAGGCGTGAGAAGCCCCTGATGTCTGCTTGTCCGTTCATTCACTCACCCCCGCCGTGGAAACGCTCTGCAGATGTCTGAGCGAATCAGTGAATCAAGGAATGAGTGCGTGAACCAGCAAGAGGCAGAGAAGGGCGTCCCCGGCCGAGCCCCCACCTCCACACAGGGCAGGCGGGACACCCGCGGGGAACGCGACGTCATTCGGCGTTCACCCAGTCGGCAACTATTGAGCACCTACTGTCTCCCGGACACTGCACACGGGGCAGACAGCGGGGAGCAAGACCCGCCAGACCTCTGGCCTTGGGGAACTCACGGGGGAGACAGGGCACGCACAGGAAACCGGCAGACAGACAGGGCCATTCCAGGTGGCACATTCAGTCAAGGGAATGATCAAGGGGACGAGATCAGAAGCCACTCTGAGCGGATGGGAGGAGGGAGCCAGGCTGATGGGACAGCTGGTAAAAGGCCCTGAGACAGGAAAGGTCTTAAGTGACAAGACTGGCGAGGACTGTGGAGTTAGGAGGAGAAGTAGGGCCCAGAGTGAGCAAGGCTGATGAAGACAGCACCCAGGGCCTGGGAGGGCGGGCAGTGACATGATGTAAGTGACTTTTTTTTTTTCTCTTCAGTGGAAGTACTGGGGATGGAACCCAGGATCTCGTGCATGCTGAGCATGCTCTCTGTCATTAAGCTGTCCCCTCCCCCTCCCCCC